GGAGGAAACGTAGATGCATGTTACTGGGAGCAAGGAGCCAATCTGGAAAAGGCTACATGGCCTGTGATTCCAACCCCGTGACATTCAGGGGAAACGGCAGAACGGTGAGGCAGTAAGAAGATCAGTTGGTACCAAGGATAGAACTGGAAACGGGAAAGGATGAACGGAGCACAGAGGAATTTTAGGACAGTGAAACTGCTCTGCATGAGACACGAGGGTGGACAAGCGTCATCATACATTTGTGCAAACCCGTAGAACACACAGCAGTGAGAGCGAGCCCTAACGTACGCCCCGGGCCCTGGGGGATGATCCTGGGTCCGTGCGGGCTCCTCAGTGTGACAGGCACACCATCTGGTGGGACACGCTGATTGCAGGGAAGGCTGTGCGAGTCGGGGCGGGCGCGCAAGGGAAATCACTGTACTGCCCACACCATTTTGATGTGAACCTAAAACTGCTCTAGAAATAAAGCCTATTACACACAAAAAAAGCCAACTCCTCACATGTCCGGGTTAGCCTCCTACCGCGGCCCAGCCGGAAGGGATGCACTCGGAGCAGGGTTTGGAGGCGGGGGGAGACGTGGGTTAGTCGGGAGCATGTGGGCAGGCGGGGAGAGGCCTGGTCCTGAGGAGCAGCTCGCCAGGCACTGCTGCACGAGGGAGGCGGGAGCCGGGGAGAGAACAGGTCCCCAGGGGAGTGGGCACCGGGGTGGGGCAGGGAAGGGGCCCAGGTGGTCGCTATAAGCCGCTGTCTCCTCCCCAACAGGGCCAGTTTCGCCCCCGCCTGCCTCTCTCACGAGATCATCATCCGAAGGTCAGTGTCCGCAGCTCCTGGAGAGATGGTGTCCCCGGCTCTCGCTCTGAACACCCAGCCCCGCCCCCACCCACCGGCCACCTGCCTTCCCTGGCTCTGTGGAAGGGCTTCCTAGGGCTGTCGGTGCCACGTCCACAACCAGCTGTGTGGCCAGAATTCAGACCCAGCCCACCTCCCATGGTAGCCTGCTTTGGCCACACCGAGTGACCCCCGCCTGGATTTCTGTCTGTAGCCACTGGACAGACGTCCAGGTGAAGGGGACCTCGCTGCCCCGGGCGCTGCACTGCTGGGACAGAAGCCTGCATGACAGCCACAAGGCCAGCAAAGCCCCCCTGAAGGGCTGCCCCGTCCACCTGGTGGACAGCTGCCCTTGGCCTCACTGCAACCCCTCCTGCCCCACCATCCGGGACCAGTTCACGGGGCAGGAGATGAACGTGGCCCAGTTCCTCATGCACATGGGCTTTGATGTGCAGACCGTGGCACAGCAGCAGGGCCTGGAGCCCAGTAAACTGCTGGGCATGCTCAGCAGTGGGAGCTAGGGCTCCCAACCCCGGGGGCTGGCACTGGGGGCCGGCCACCTCCCCGGGCTCCCCTGCCCCTCCTAGGGCACACAGAGCCCCGGCTGTCCCCACAGCTGCCTTCACTGCCCCTCTACCACTGCCTTCAGGAGGCCCAGCCAGAGCCGGGAGTCCTGGGTCCTGCGGGAGCCCCAGCCCCCCTCCTGCCTGCGCCGGGGAGCCCCCCGTGCGGGGTTCCGGCCCACCGGCCCACCAGCCCAGGGGGCCCCTGGGCCAGCCCCAGCCTCAGACTCTCCTGGCCTTTTGTATTATTTTAT